ATATTATGATTTCTATTAGATATAAGTAACTGGTCAATTGATAAATTTCAGTACAGTGAATTATTCAGTATTTTTTACAAATTAGTCAATAACTTAATGCATATAGACTGTGGAGATAGTACAGTATTAATAGATTAAGTGTTTTAACAAACAAATATGACTAAATGATTAAGTTATCTACTGGCTATTTCTTAACTGTTATAAAATGTAGCTTTACTATCAATAAACCATTCATAATTTCCTAAATAAACATAGATACTGATCAAGGCTTCTAATAAAACATATATCTGGAGTTAAGCGAGAAGCAAAATAGCTGACAGTACCAGAGAAGCTTTTGTTCCTGAAATTACAGTTTAAAGATGATATAGCCAGAGAAATAGTAATTCGATATATAAGAAACACTGTAGAACGCTTACTTAAACGCAGCAAGATGACGGTCTACTTTCTTAAACCAGATAATAATGAGTTCACTGAATAAGGATAAACTACCTAGTTATTCAGCATCCATGTGAATTTAATATCTCTACTGCTCTTGCGGAGCCAGTCATATTTGGTGCATAACTAGACAAATACATAGTCGTACTTCTAAACAACATATCTCTTGATCATCTAAAAGAAAGAAGAAAGTAATAAGAATCTCAATCTCAGAGCATTGCTCAACATGTCGATAAGACGTCAGTTTATAAAACCACCTATAGATCTCCATGGAATATGACCTATCGCACCGGAATCCGGCTGTTATATAAAGCAGAAGCCATAAAAACGCATATCAAATACACATAACCCCTTTACAAAAAGAAAAGTTTTACAAACTGAATTTATTCTGCCATTCAATGTAGCCTATGTTATGCTTCCAAAAACGTATTTCTAAAAATTATCCGAACTTTGATTTTGTTACTATCTTAATTCATAATTTCAGTCTAACGGTACCTGATTAATAATTTTATTATCCTATCTGTGTTGCACATCTTTTATTAAACATTCATTTTAATTTCATACCAGACAAAACATTTATACTTAGATCTAATTAAATTTCTTAATTAAGTCATCACCATCTATTTGGCATCGATTTTATATTTAATTGTACAACCGATAAATTAATATAGAGCTTTTTGTCCTTCCAATTTTGTAAACAACACTCTCGCCAAGAGAAGGCAGTGAGTAGGACTTCCCCTGGCAGAGAAACTAATTCGAAAGAAATATTTTTCACTTAGCTTGTATTTTATATCCACTCTGTAGTGTAGATTAAATTCCTACCGATAGATTACTCATCAATTAGCTATGACATCAAACTATCTAGTACTAACTATAAAGAAAATAATCTTTAAAACAGATCACATTATTCTGTGATTCGAGAGTAAAAATGATATTTCATTAATGATTCATTTTGTGTTTATATCAAGTTAGTTAGTAAATCCATGTAACTCATTGAAAACTACAGTGACGTAATATGAAAAGAAAAGGAAACTCAACTGTTTTCATTAAATCACATTTTGAAATATAATGAAATTACATCTAGTTTTCTATTAGGACATATTTGGAACTTCACAGGTTGAAATCATCAGTCAATTGAAGCTAGACTACCATGGAGAACCTGGAAGCACTGGACGGCCGTTTCGTCCTAGTATGGGACTCCTCAGCAGTGTACACCATGGTGTACGGTGGCGAAACTTCGTGGATTGGTTGAAGCTAGACATTAACACCGTTGGACGCCGGCTCAGCGGTCTGATGGTTAAGTGCTCGCGCACGAGACCAGTAGGTCCTGGGTTCGAATTCCGCGGGGTGTGGAATCGTCGATGCGCACTGCTGAGGAGTCCCATACTAGAAAGAAACGGCCGTCCAGTGCTTCCAGGTTTTCTATGGTGGTCTAGCTTCAATTGACCCATGATTTCAACCTGTGAAATCTCTAAAAAATCTCCACAAAACCCATTCTCATATTTGAAACAGTTAATTCTGTTGATAAACCCTTTCAAACATAAATAAGTAGTATTGTGATATGAATCAAATTATTTTCAATTTGATGTACCCTATCAAGAATAAGATGTAGAAAATGTAGTTTGATAAACATAACCAATACAAACCATGTATGTACATCTGCTATAATTGATAATTTGAGTAACATAAATATTGATCGATATATGATGTGTAATAATTGAGGGCCTGCTTAAACATCTGGGCTACTTGTTTCTACCCTCTAGATATTTCAAAAAGTTATCTGTTTTTGCTCGTTTTTTTACACATTATTACGTTTATTAATCGCACAACTTATTAAGGTGAGTTTATGAAAATTTTGCAAACTTCCATTGTACAAACAACAAAAAAGCTTAACCAAAGACATCGTGGTTGTTGGAAATCTTCAGCGAAAAAAACGTACAGTTGTCGATTCCTGGACTGAGAACTTCTATATTAAATAAAGTTAATAATAATAATGCATTATGCTCAAATGGTAACTGATTGTAAAACTGAACTGTTACCCATATCACCTAAACAAACTGAAAATCAAAGGCAGTAAAACATTTTTTTCTAACTAAATAAGATGTTTATATCACTGGTTGAAATCATGAGTCAATCGAAGCTAGACCACCATGGAAAACCTGGAAGCACTGGACGGTCGTTTCTTTCTAGTATGGGACTCCTCAACAGTGCGCATCGACGATTCCACACCCCGCGGAATTCGAACCCAGGACCTACTGGTCTCGTGCGCGAGCACTTAACCATCAGACCGCTGAGCCGGCGTCCAACGGTGTTAATGTCTAGCTTCAACCAATCCACGAAGTTGCGCCACCGTACACCGGCCTTGCGAGATTCGAACCCAGGACCTGTCCGTCTAAAAATCTCCACAAAACCCGTTCTGATAATAATATGTTTATATACAAAAATCTATCAAGTAAAATTGATCATGATTACAAATGATTTACGATATAATTAGTTTGACAATCAAGATTTTGTGTATAACTCACACATAAAATTATAACCTGATTTAAATGTTACGAATGCAATTAGTATAACAAATCACAAAACTAAACTGTTTGATCTATTTTGATGCAAACTATACTTGAGTATATATAGGAAATTGAAGGGTATAAAATGTAATGAATTCATTTATTATTTATTTGTATTGAAAAATATTGAGGAATATGAAAACCATATATTTTATTAATCTGGAGCAAATCTTATAACATCTCTGCCTTAACCATATAAGTAAAAGCTGAGTTGTCTAGAGATTCAGCATTTGTGAGTGAAACCGAATTTTCAAGGTTAGATGCCTGAGAAAGGGATAAAGAATGCTCACCGCTGTGAAGCTTGTTATAAGACAACTGTCCAGTATCCTCGAATTTTCTGTAAATACTTTCGTGATAAAAACTATCATACGCTTCTAAACTATCATTAGCGAATGGTACTGGGTTCGAGTCCCAGAGTGAAAATCAACTCTGAGATGCAGGTACATCCAGCTGACGAGTCCCAAATAGGACGAAACACGCGTCCTGGATTCCACTGCTAGCCACTATCCATTACTGCTTACAAAAAGCTTGTGAATTAAGGCAATATCGAGGCATACGCACATGTATGCACATATGCCAATAACAGACTGACCATTCGCAGTCTTAAACCTCAATGGGAAGATACAAGCCAAACAATACCAAGCGAACCGTATGATTGTTCATTAAACAATAAATTGGTTATCCCCATCAAGTCTTCATTCACTATAATACATCTAGAAATTTATCCTTGATTAAAGAAATGGATGTTATATTTTTAGAAAAAAGATTTTCATTTATCCTAGAAACATCATATTTCCTCCTTGTGTTTTCACACATCCTCATATAAATGCATATTTATTCATGAATAAGATGAATGAACAATTTTGATGAGGGGGGTAAACAATGCTGAAAAAAACAGTTACCGTTTGAAAATTGCCTTTTGTTTAATTAAACACACGTTTAGCATTAATTAAAGTTTATGAGGAAAGTCATTTCCATGACAAGATTAACATAAGATTAGTTAAGTTTAGAGATTAGATACTATACATATAATGACTTAAATAATATTGAAAACAAACAACTGAATAAGCTCTATTAATTACAATTTAATGTGAAAGTGCGATTGTCGACGTTGTCAATGTTGAGATCCTAACATCACTTTTACAAAAAAGTATAAGTTCTTTAAACATTACAGTTACTCTTCATTGACTAATTCTAATTCATATCAGAAGGGTTTTGTGGATATTATAGTAATTTTCAATGTTGAGACCATGAGTCAATTGAAGCTAGACCACCATGGAAAATCTGGAAGCACTGGACGCCGTTTGTCTTATTGTGAGTCTCCTCAGCAGTGTGCATCACAATCCTGCCTAGCGGGATTCGAACCCAGGCCTATCAGTCTCGTGCGCAAACGCCTAACCACGCCATCATCAACACAAAGCTCAGATGAAAGCGAAGTGTTCGAATTTCTGTAAATATGGTTCACAGCTTGTCATACAAAGTTCAATTGTCTTGTTGAAATGAATGTACATATCTAACTAATCAGATATACTTCCATTTGAAACATTATCAAAACACTTCGATACAAATTGAATAAATCTTAAAAAGTTAGAACAATAGCAACAATTCTCATCTATTCAATAAATATTAAACAATAATTAGTTTCTATTGTTATTAACTTTTTACAGGTACACAGATGGTCTAGTGGTTAAGCGTTTGCGCGCGAGACTGATAGATCTTGAGTTCGCATCTCACGGGGGGCGGGATCGTGAACACGCACTGCTGAAGTCCCACACTAGGACGAAACGGCCTTCCAGTGCTTCCAGGTTTTTCATGGTGATCTAGCTTTCATTGACTCATGATTTCAACTAGTGAAATAAATAGTATTGTCAAATTCTTTTTTAAACAATAACTATACTACTATATTATCTAATTGTAGGTTGGTATACTGTATCACATGAAGGTAATCGATATGGTGTAACATTTCATAGTCGAATATTGCTAATGAATTTATGAAAGTTTAGAAGCTGAATATGGTCGATGGAATACAGCTAATATATTAAAAATACAAAGAGATGGACAAAATTTTGTTATTTTAAATATATTTTTTCATGATCTTTTTACACCATGGTTTTATACACAAGGACCTATCAAAAACGATGAAGAATGGATTCGAACAGATTTTAAAAATATTTGTCATACTGTACAAGGTAAGTGTAAATTAAACATTGAAATGAAACAAAAGTACATAGTATATTATCTTTCAGATAGAATGTAAAGTATACTAATTAGTCATTGATTACTAACTAATGTCATGTATGTTTGATTCTTTGTGATAATTCTATCAATCCATCAAAATGCAAGACCATTTCCCATTATTTCTAGTAACTTCCTAACACCAATATGGTTAAACTTCACTTATCACGGTTTCTCAATAAAGCTTTGAAGATTTCCTCTCGAAGTTAATCATTAGTAAACACATGAGGATTGTCATTATACAGTTGTGGAGGTCGATTCTTGATTTCAGTCAAACTCAACAATTTCCACAACCCCATACTTACAACAGTCATTATGTTTTCATTATTTTGCAGCTAGCAGTTAGACAGTCTGATTGAAATTTAGACAAATGAAATCACAACTAAAACATTTAATTTCTGGTAACCTGAAACTGACAAGTAAAATTGTAAAACTAAGATATTTCCAGCTAATTATAATAAACTAAATGCTTCAGATCTATCAGCTGGTACAATACTTAAATTCAAGACAGTGTAGCGCCGTTAGTGCACATTACTGACAGTTACAAAACCATGGCAAAACACATGTACATTGCCTCCAGATTTTATCCGTAAAAAACTGTAGACAAAACGATAGACAATACTGAAATAAGACGTTCGATAGAGCGTAGAAATTTTTGTCTAGTTGGTTTCCTATCACAGCTTTTCATTTATATAATATTATACATATGATTTACATTACTGCTCGATTAGTGTTATGTTATTGGCGTAAATCTTATATATATATATATATATATATATATATATATATTGGTGCGAGACCATAGTGATAAACTAAGTGAAATAAAATATTTCTTCGCTCTATTCATCTAAATGAGGGCTTTCCCTGTCAAAATGGTAGTAAGTAGGGGTTCGCAAAACTCGTCTGAGGCAGTAGAATGCAACTACTTAGGAACTACGATAAATACCATCGATTGCACAGGATGATATTGGTGCAATATCGCCAAGTGGTTGTCGTGAGACCTATAAACTATTAGATTACAACTACGGGGTTTGAAAATCAAGTGCTTACTATGTGACTAGAAGGTCTTGAGTTCCGTCATTGTTAAAGTCTTGGATGCCTACAATTGGAAAGTCACATTCTAAGACGAAATCTATGTCCAATACTTCTCGGTTTTCAATTGTTATCAATCTAATCCCAGTTTGTTATGCAAAACTATCAAATTAATTTAATTAAATCAGATTGTATGTTAGAGAAATTACGAACAACAATAGTATTTTAGTATATATATTATTATTAATTAAGTAAACAATAGTGAATATTATGCTATACTGTAACTCCAATTAGTCACTTTGCTATTGAATCTTATGCACAGAAACGTAACGTACGACTAGTCTTATCTTTATCTCTTCATCAGTTAACTGAGAACAGTGTCGAAAACAAATTTAAAAAGAAAATGCCTTATTCAAAAATAGTTCACTTTATTTGCATTTACATTCTGTTACAATTAGTCTTCTTTATGTCTATTCTTCTGCTCGACAGCTCGATTGGCTGTGAACCCTCGATTCAAATGGAATAAATTTTCAAAAAATTCAACAAATAAAACACTAAAACAAATAAATCAATTATCAACCAACACAAATATATCAAATTTAGACAAGAAAAACAATGATCGTTTATCAAATCCTAATACTGCTACAACACCATGGACACCATGGACTAAAGTAGCTTATATTCCATCATTAACTGAGACATCAGTTAAAAAAAATTTGACACGTAACTCAAATAAAAGTAAATATAAAACGAAAAATGAATATAAAACTAATCAACTGGTCAATGTAATTATATTTGAAGATATTATTGAATGTAATGGTTTAGATAAAGGTGTGCAAACGCATCAGAAACGATTACAAACACATAAAACAACAATTGATCCAGTTGTATAGATCATAGATAATGTAAATTGATGCAGTGAAGATTATTGTATGATACTGGTTGAATCAATTACACATACTTTATACAGAACCATTTTGTTATTGTTCTATTCTGCAAGAGTTTACAGTTGGTGAATATCCTGGATAAAAATGATACGATTATCATATTTATTTTGTTAAAAAACTAATGTAAACCCATTGAAGACTATTCAGAAATGCTGTAATGGAACTTTCACTTTTCATACAAAACTGTCAATGACACCTAACATGTTTAGTGATTTTGTTGTGATTTTAGAACCTCATGTATTTTTAAATTCAATGTAATTTGTTACAATCACTTGTGTTTTTTATATAAAATTTACAAATTAGTCTGTTGTCTGCTTTGTATAATTTTATTGATACTGTAGGGCCAGTGAAATTCCACTGAGCCCTATCCAAGTCATCTGGCAGTTGGGTCATTAAATATCGAACAACTCATCGATCCTCGTCAAGTTCAAGGACAGCCAACGCCCATCAGTTAATCGTATGCCATGGACTGGCCCATACGGCAGTGGTCTTACCTCCGCTTGTATCTACTCTAACTAATATATTTCTGTGTTGTACAGTCTTCAAAGCATCTATGGTACATTGATACATCAGCGGGATAGTCCACGTAAGGTGCTGACCACGAGGTGTGATTTCGACGTTAGCTAGTTTGTCACACCATTCACGTCTAACTCGAGTAGGCCTCCAATCATTTTGACATAGATCATCTACGTTGGTGATCAATAGTATGCATTTGAAACAAGTAAAATGGTGACACTTGTCTGCAAACGTCGATAGACTACTACTTTTAGATATCGTATTAGGATACGTGACCCTGTTATGCCTCCTCTAAACTCTTCTTGGACTAAATCTAATGACGTTTTGTTGCTTCTCATCATAAAGACTATTTCTCTTACTGTCATTGTCATTGGATGAGTGTGCCTCTCAATATATTCAAAATATTTGTGTTATGTACTCTGCAGATATTTGTAAGCCCCTTCTGGGTACCAGCAGATACCTGTGAAATAAAAGTATCCTAAATTGTTCATGTATGTTATCGATCAATAGAGTAATTTCATTCATTCATTTTAACAATTTTAAACTCGTTATAAATTCATCAAAAACCGATAACTCTTAACAGTGACGATAAAACTAACTATTAAGATATTGATTACATTGTGTGAAAGGAAATTAAACTAATTCAACCACAAAAAACCTCAACAAAGAACTTCTTAACACTACTCATAAATCATTAGATCTGAAATAAATGGAACAGCCAAGTTGTTGAAAGCAGTCATAAGACTGAGTCCAGTGATTGTCTTCAAATCACTCTAAATTTCTTGAAGATTATATTTAGAATCTCCAAATTTGGCTTCAGAATAATCAGGTAAGTTTATAATGTATGCTCCTGATTAGCCCTCCAAAAACCACACATTAAACAAGCTAACGGAGAGCTCCAAGGTTCTCAGCTACAAACAAAAAATGCTTCATGTGTCCAAATAGTTATGGACCAAATCATGTGATAAGTGCTAAATCTAAAACCATAGAAGGAAGTGGTTGTAAGAATTTATTACCCCTTAGCACTCAGATGATGATAGATGAGCGTCTAGAGTTTTATGACAGTGGTAAACTTGCAGTCTAGAGACGGGGCAAAAATATGGTTTTCAAGAAAACTGAAGGATATATGAAAGAAGTAAAGAGTTTTTTTCGTTTTATAAATGTTTTAAAAATGGATTCCATATCATCTTGTACGCTGACGATATATTATGAGGAATAATTAAGCTGAAGACTCAGATCTTAATTTCATTGGCACTTGAGTGACCTGTGGAAATTATATCTTTCCATTAGTCACCTTTCAAAAGTCTTCTAATTATGTCTGTTATTGTGTTTGATATTTTGTATGCAGCAGTATTATTTAACTGGAAAGAATCTATTCTACTGGCTAGTGCTCTTACGTTTTACATCAGCATGTTTGCGTATTGACAAAAATAATTCTATTTCGTCGGTAGCAATCACTCGGCAATATCGTATAGTTGTGTATCATTTATCCATCACCATCTTATTCATTCATTACAACAATTCTTCAAGCAAAACCTCAATCTTTAAGTCATCATCCATAAGAATGTTATATGCAGAATTATTTAAATCAAAGATTTTAACGTCTTATTTACACGCCTATTGTCCTCAGGGTAATATTCTGTTGTTTTTATAATCCTAAATAGCTAAAACACTATTACTCTTCTGAAATTTTTCTCTTATTCAACATTTAGTTGCTCTCCTACTCTTTATCTAATAGTCAAACAATACATCTCGAAATGGAGTAGCCAACAATGCTTGGAATAAATATAATTATATGTATGTGTGGTTTACTGATTTAGAATAATAACAACTCTCAGTAACTCATTTAATAACTTGTCACTCATACTAACCAAAAGTTCTTGTCGTTATCTAGAAAATAATTTTAATCGTACACAGTTGAGGGAACACTCAAGAGTTTCGAATATTTGGCTGCGATCTCCAATAACATCTGTAAATATCGGTTCGTACACATGATTCTGACCTGTTTATATAATTTTCTCCAAAAGACCAAGTTATTTATTAGATGAAAGTATTTGCCTGAAATAAGATTGTCTGGTAGATAACTAATATTTATGCTTTTCATTCTCAAACAATCAAATATTTATTTTACTATTTATATCTTCACATTACAAAGACAAGAAATGAATGCTTCACATAACAGATCGGTTGAACTTTGTAGTGAATTTCGGCTTTTTAAATGTCTCAGTCTCCAGAATATTAATCAGTTTGGCAGTAGGAAAAATTGGTAAACAAACCAAATGATCAAATCAGTAAGCTCAATCACTGAAAATATTTATAAGAGTTAGGATATTTAAACAAAATCGAATTAAAGGTGGTTGGTGGCTAGCAGTGGAATCCAGGACGCTTGTTTCATCATATTCCGGACTTGTCAGCTGTATGTACCTTCATTCTAGAGTTTATTTTCACCCTGAGACTCGAAATCTTTGCTTATAACACTTGTGAAATAAAGGTAATATAGAAGCAATCCTCACAGGATACACATATGCCAATAAGAGACTGATCAATCGCAATGCTAAACATCAATGGGAAGATTCAAACAAACAATACCAAATAAATTTAGAATCAAATTAACCACGTTTTCCAATGATTAACAAAGTAAGGTTATCAAATAATCTGAAATGAAATCTACAAATAGATAGGAACATTTAATATACTAAGAATTGTTTAAAGAATAACGGGAAATCAACGCAATAAAAGCCAGTTCAAAAAAAGAGAACAATATTTGAACGGTAAAATGCTTTCAATGATAACTTTTTATTCAGAGCTCCATAGTTACAAATCCATAAAGAAGAAATCAGAAAACTCATAACTTTTAAGGTAACGACCTCTAATCAATAGTTTAAAATCGTCTGTACGAAAATAAGTATAAAATATGGATTGCTGTGTTGTGGCTTGTATGGTAATAACAATTATTATAAGAAATATTATATATTTTATGAAATCTCAAGGTATGATTATAAATATATAATAAGGGGTTATACAAATGTCAGTGAATGAAAAAGGAGGGTAATATTTACAATTTGTACTGACATGATTGAACTAGAAATGAGATAATTCTATGACCTAATGTAAATAAATGACTTGAACGCATCTCTTTTATACACATTAGTCTGTCTTCTAGGAATCATTGTCAACTGTTTCAGCTATATACAATAGGCATAATCTTGAAATCTTCATTAGATTATACTAGATTTGATTTTTAACTGAGATTTCATCTTCAATTTTTATATTATATATCCCTAGTCGATTAGACTTAATGATACTAACTTGGCATGTAAGTGTTCACGAGAAACTAAAGATAAGACCCTTCTAATACGGTTTATCCAACTAGTCTAATTAGTATCAATTATCATTAGTTGATTATTTAAACTTATTATTAGAAACTCTTCAGACAAATGAGTTAACCGGACTTATTTTATATAACTTAGTTAAACAGGAAAGAACTATACTATGTAAAACAAAACAACCTAAGTATAACTTTATTCAATATGTTTATTTCTTTTTACCCATGAATATATTGTGATAATTTCTAGTCTAAATATATTTTGATTATACATTTTACAAAGTTATTTACTTCAGCATAAATAAATCCTTTAGTTGGTGGAGACGATTTGTAGCTCAGATGGATGATTTTGATAGAGTTTTGTTCTCTGAGTTGGATGGTTTGGTCGTGGAACTTTCATCGTTCTTCTGAACGACATCATCAGCACAAACTTCAGATAGAAGTGAAGTGTTCGAATTTCTCCATATGCGTTTCACAACTTGTTCCGTACACCTCGACGTTGATTGGTTCTTATTGACCTTAAATTTGTCATTGTTTACTTCATTGTTTTGGTTGTGTTTCCCATTGGTTTGATTTTTGTTCCTATATTTGTGTATAATCTTCCAATCAGGAAAATTATGCACAAATATGCATGCATATGGAGAAATTCAAACACTTCACTTCTTTTTGAAGTTTGTGCTGATGATGTCTTTCAGAAGAATGACGAAAGTCCTACGACCAAACCATCCAGCTCAGAAAACAAAACTCCATCAAAATCTTTTAGTAAAACTCAGAGAAAAACATTAAAACAGTTTAGTGAAGAAAGTTTTCTTTTATTAACGTTGTATAGTATATTTATAATCAATTGGATATTGCATTATGTAATAAGTGATCAAAAGTATTTTAAACTATTAGAAGAATTCTGTAATAGTTGAAACAGTAAAGTACAAAAGTAGATTATAGATGAAAGATAATTGTAAAGCTGAAGAATATAAAGAAAGAATTCATTGCAAAAAGAAGAAAAGAAATAAACCCTTTCTATACTTAAAAGGAGTAGTTTATTATTCATTTTGAAGACAAAAGTAAAATGAGGATTTGTAGATTTTCTCCTTAAATGCGTAAATTT